CCGTTTGGCTTCACGAGTCAATGCCGATCAACATTTCGCTCTCTAACGACGGCAGAATGGCGAATTCGTGGTGGTAGATTCGACCTTGCAACTGCACGGACAGCGTGATCGCGTCGGATATTTCCGCGTGGGTGCCATCGGTGAGTTGCACTTAATCGACGCCCGTGTGATCGCGATACCCCCACGTCCGGACGGTGTCGGTAGTCGCGGTATTTACGAAGGATACTTCCGATCCGGAGTCGAGAAGTGCGGTGAAGTTCCGCTTGTTAATACGGACGGTGACGTGGGGTCGCGGTGTAAACTTTACGTCGCGGAAGCATTGGGGCGAACGTCGGTCCGTACGACCTCGGCCCCTTTCGCGTTTCCCGGTGTCGGTGGCTGACATTAATTTGTCAAAACCCCGCGGCCACACTGAGAGCAAAATTTCTTCGTGGAGCGCCGGGAATCGAAATGTGTATGTTCTCGCTGTTTGCACCGCCAACACTGCGCGATTATATACCGCTGCTACAGTCGATATTTCGAGGGCGGTTCTTTCAGCTTCCCGGAGCTCTTTCCGTTGCCGCTCGAACTCCGCGAGTCGTTCGTGCAGCTCGGTGATGCCGCTTACATCGTCGATTCGGACGTAGATTTTATATTTCGAATCCACATTATCATAGATCTGGTCGAGCTGCTTCGGTCGCGAAAATCCGCCGGCGCGGCGCATCAACGTCATTATCGCCGTGATGTACGTTGCGAAATTCTCGTCGGGTTTCTGCTGTTCCATAATCTCGCGTCGTAACGTGACGCAGTACATCGTGGTAGGTACTGGTTCCGAAAGTCGATCTCGAAATCAGCCCACGAATTCCATTCGTCGCGCGTGTTCCGGTACCACAGCAGTACATCGCCTTTAAGTAATCCCGGTAAAGCTTTCAGCAATTGCGCGGCGGAGAACCCGTACCCGGTGTTTAGTTCTTGAATCCACTCAAGGAAGGTGACGGGATCGCGGCAAAATGACAACCCCATTTCCGAATTTGGTTTATGACCTTTGCATTGTCGCGCAGAACTGTTTCCGTATCATGCGCGCCCGGCGATGGTGTCTATTCAATCAAATAAAAGGCCACGAGACTGTTGCTGGCTTCTCCCTCCGCCGTCGCAAATTCCGTCGAATGCTCCGAGACGTATCGACTCGTCCGTTTCTGTAACTCATCGAGGGATCCCGCATCGTCAAGACCGCTGGCGGCGACGACTGCCACGAGTTGCTCTTTAGGGAGCAAATAACCACTGTGGCATGGTTTACAGGCAAGAATCACGCTCCGCTTATTACAGGTAAATATGTACAAAAAGAAAACTACCGTGGGTTCTGTGTACGGTCGGGGCAGGTCCCTGTTCGGGCGCCAAATGTAACAGCCTCTTTCGCGAGGGCTCGAACGACCTAGCTGGGATCAAAGCTCGTGAAAGGGGTCAACAGAACACCGCGGTTTAATATTAAAATAAACTGAATTTATATTTATTTAAAGACAAAAAAAATAAAGTAATATAAGGTAATAATATAATAGAATACAATTGCTTACAAAGGCGGAACTAATATATACGCAAATAAGAAAAGACAAGTAATACAACCACAAATAACCGGTGCAAGAGACGTGAGACGTATATGACACAACAGAAAACGGAAGTATAACCATACGATAATTCCGGTAGGCGCACAGATTTAATCGGTCGGGCGAAATCGGTGTACATATTTCTATTACTCGATGCGAACTATTAATATGACCACAAGCGCGGGGTCGGTTATCCTTGCGAGTAAGGGTACGACGATAATGACCGCGGGATCAATTTCGGAGGTAATGGGTAAACCGTGAATATAAGAAACCGCCGCGGGCGGATCGTATACGCGTAGCGGGGCGCGCGTGTTGCCGCAGGACGCGTTTGAGAATAATAGTGATACCCCCACACAGGGGAGTTGTTCTCCGACGAGGGAGAGTGGACGGCGCATCAAGAAGAGCGCGAGAGAGTTTCGGTATCCGGTGTCGATAATTGCAGGCGATGTGCCACGGCCGTCCTACGGATAGCGGGATGCACCGGCTTGTTGCAGTTCAGCAACGCAAGAGGATAAGCTTTCCTTGAGAAGTCGATGCAGCAGAGATCGGGGAGAGAGTGAGAGAGAGAGAAATAGTCGGTCTCAAAAATGGTTCAATTAATGTAACAATACCCCATCGTTCCCATCCGAACAGCTGATGGAAAGCTGCGCCCGGCGACCATCGGCCGGGCAGGACAGCAGGCGCAGAGCGCCCTATTTTATTTTTATTTATTCGCGGGCTTATTATTGTCGGTTGAAACGATACGTCGTTATTCTTGGCAATATAGGCACACAGCTCGGAGCCGAGAGCGCCCGACGGCCGATGTAAACAGCCGAACGTTGTAGCGCGAATCTATCGCGACCGTATAAAAGAGGATGAGATCCTAAACAAAAAGGATTCCGTCTTCTGATCCGAACTCCGCCGGGTCTTTCGACCGGTAATCAAAATACAAATTAGAAGTTTACTCTGCCTCTGCAGCGAGATTGTAGCATTCTGAGGACGATTCAGGAACCCGGAAAAATCCGTCTTAGTCGACATCGAGGTCGAAGCGTACTCCGCCTCTCCCGCGATACTCGCGAGACAAGTCTCTCTCTCTCTCTCTCTCTCTCTCTCTCTCTCTCTCTCTCTCTCTCTCTCTCTCTCTCTCACCCCCTTGACTCTAATCACCACTGCACCGGTCTTACTAGGCGGAGCAGCGCCGGCTATATCGTGCTCTTGCGACAGTCGGTGCATCCTGAGTATCCGCAGATCGACGGTGGCACGCCGACCTTGCACTTATTACCGCATTTTGGAATTCCGTTCGCGCCTCTTGCGACGCGCCGCCTATTCTCTCACAACGGAAACGGTTGTTCCTCCCTCCCCGGTGGAGGAACACAAGTATTGTCACGCGTCGCGCTCCGCGACCACGTGCGCCCCGCTCCGTATTCATGGTCCGCCTTCAAAATTTTTTTGTACGCGAATCGGCGATTTACCCCAAAAGTGGCCCCGCGGCCATTATTTCTATAATCCCTATTCAGACGGAGGGATATATCCGCCCTCAACCGTATTAATGGCGCGTGTGGAATATCCAAACCCGCGTATAATTGTCGATATATGTACATCCGCGCCGCTGCGTGACTCCGTATATTTGTAATCAGCGTGAAACCTCGCGACTTAATTATATTCAAGTCCGTTCCATACTGTGTCTCTACTACGTGTTCACGCCGCGAGCACTGTAGTGTCTTTCCGAATCGAGACTCTTTGTAAATCGTATCCGCAGTGATATTATATCCACGCAGTGATATTATATATTCTTTTTATTTGTATTATTGTATTATTTCGTTATTATTTGTTTAATAACTATTTTGCTTAATTAAATTACTCGCGGAGTTCTGTGCAACCTTTTCTCGAACCCTGATCCTGACTGAGCTGTCCGACACTCGCGGAAAAGTAGACGTTACAATCTTCTTTTAACTAGGTTAGTTTTTTATTCAATTTTTAAGGTAACTAAAATAATTTTGTAAATTATTAAAACTTAACTTAGTTTAAAAAATAATTTATTTATTCAATTTTTGCTATGTGTGTATATATAGGTATATATGTATAATTCCAAATGAACTATATTGATATCTTGTGGCTGTATTTACAGGTAAAGATTTAATAACTAATGATATTAAAACGAATGTAGTTTACAAGATTAACTGTGAAAATTGTAATGCATCATACATTGGACAAACAAAAAGACATTTATGCACTAGAGTGAAGGAACATGCCAGCAATATTAAATTACATGAGTCTAATCATTCGGTTTTGAGCAAACACAGATGTGATTTTGGGCATAACTTTGATTGGAAATCACCGACAATTTTACATAACGAGAAACATGTAAGAAAGAGAGAGATTGCTGAAATGTTCTTCATAAAGAAGCATGGCAATACAGTTAACCTACAGAAAGACACCGAGAATTTGACAAACATTTACGACAAAATAATAAAGATTGTTTAGTGGCGCGTTTCAAGTTTAGTCGTTGACGAAACATCATAACGATGGGACGTGTTCCTCTTTTAACGTTTAACTTTCGATTTCTAATAACACCGGTGTGATGTTATGTTAACCTCGGTTTAATTGATGGTATGTTTATAAAATTTATACTTATTTTATTAATTTAACACTTAAATGAGTTTTCGTATGTTAAAAAATATTGTGTAACATTATGTTGTAGAAATTTCACTTGAAAAGGACCACAACCAAATGGTCGAAACGTCGTGAAATAATCAAATAAAATTGCTAGTTACGTCGTAGTCAAGTCGTTTAAGCTTATTTTCACCACTAGCGACAAATATTAATTTTGATTGATATTAATTTTAATTGATCATATTTGTTTAAACATAAGAATTTGATTTAACATGAAAAATTGATTTTTTGTTTATTTACTTACATACACAGATTTTTCTTTTATTCTCTTTTCGCGTTACATAATCTTGTTTCTAGAAATTTTTAAATATTTCTAGAAGCTTTTTATTTAACGCGTACAAGTTTGAACATGAAAAATCATGATTTTTTACGTAAAATACGTCTTCCCCACTTTTATTTTTAAATTTTTTTGAGAGAGGGAAAACGGTAATATAAGTAAATCGACATGTCGTTCTTCCGCATTTATTCGAGTTTGAGTTTACAAAAATACAAGTTCAAAGTATAATACGAAGAAAGAATTCCTCGCAGTTTTGCTATTTTACCGGGTTGTCCTGACTATTCGTGAAATTTTACAAGTGAAAACAATGACTACGCGCAAGGAAGTATCTAACTTTGCGAAATCCGAGCGCAATCGCGATATTCGCGAAACGGTTAACAACGACGGCATCGACATCGATAACGTCAGAAGACATGAACAACGTTATTTATTGTTATCGACGATGTACGGACTTAATTCTTCTCACACTAAGAAGATTGAGCGAGTCTCCGTTAGACAAGGAGCAGGAGCCGTTGAAGACCACTCTTAACTTTGTAGTGGTGCTGCCTCTCGCGTACGTTGTGATGCAAGTAGGAGGCACAGCGAGAAGAACCAGCAGACGAGAGCGGAGTCGGCTTTATGTGATTCAAGTCTAAGTATTGGCTCATGAACTTGACGTATTTCTGGCGAAAGTTGGCTTTCTTTGAGAATTTGTTGATGACATGTTGCAGTATTTTACTGGCAGCGCGTCGAGTGACTGAGAGGTCCGGAAGAGGTTCGATCGTCGGGAGGCGCACTATATAACAGCCGTCGGCTATGCGGGAGTGATGTCGTCGGAAGTTTTCGCACTCCTTGTCCGCTTGGGAGAAGAGTTGGGGAGGACCTTGAAGCTCCTCCTGTTCCCAGAAGCGCCGCACCAGCCTGGTTAAATCGTCTTCAATCTGGCAGTGAAGAGTGTTGATGCTATGTTCCGTAGCCGCCTCGCCAACATTCCCGGAAAGTATCCAACCCAGTGTGGTTAGCTGGGCGATGGGCTCACGAGATCTTTCTTTTTTCAGCCCCTGGCAGATGATAGAGGCGTAGACGTCAGCACCGAGAAGGAGGTTAGGCGTCCTTCTCCGTTGTATCCATCCGCAAAGATAAGTGAGCTTGGGCAGTATCAAAGCCTCGACGGAGATGGAAGAGCTTCCGCCGAGTGATTGCAGGGTTAGTGTAGCTTTATCCTTGGAAACGCCAGTTTTTTTCCTGTCGATGCCGAAAATTGAGATGGAAGCGGAGGTTCTCGGCAGTTTGAGTTGTTGCATTAGGCATTCTGACACGATGGACGACTCTGAGTTCTGGTCGACGAGGGCACGAGCTGTATGCCAGGAGCCGTGTCGATCGAGCACGCATACACGTGCGGTTGTGAGAAGCACAGCATTCGGCGCCGACAGAGATTGTTGGGCAACGTGCGACATTCTGACCGTCTCGTGGTCGCGGAACGCGTCGTGAAGCGAGGAGTGATGTCTGTTGCCACACACGAAACAGTTTTTCTTACAAGGAAGAAAAAAATAATTAATAACTTAATTACACACTGTGATTTATTTTAATACAGAAGATATATTCTCAAGTTTGTACAGCTTACAAAAAAAATTATTTCTAGAAATGAAAAAAGGAACTGCGTTTGTTCATAATCAAAAATGTTTATTAAGGTCTTTGTCATTGAAAAGCCCAAAGTCTGGGTTGTTTATCAAAATATCTTTAAAGATATAAGACAAGCAATAAGAGCCAACTCGCAGATGACAGTGCGTTATCCTAACAAAACTAAATTTTTCGTTAGGATTAAGTATCTGTGCACAAGGCACCAAATTTTACTTGGTCACGGCCAAGATTTAAAATATGAAATAATCTCATATATTTGAGATTTAATTTCAATAACCCTTTCACCCCCCTACGGAAATAAGTAAATGCAAGAGAAACTCTCGGGTTCGATTCCCGATTCAGCGACTTTCGGATCTATATTTTTCTCTTGCATTTACTTATTTCCGTAGGAGGGTGAAAGGGTTATTGAAATTAAATCTCAAATATAAGATTATTTCATACTATAAAATCTTGGCCGTGACCAAGTAAAATTTGGTGCCTTGTGCACAGATACTTAATCCTAACAAAAATTTAGTTTCGTTAGGATAACGCACTGTCATCCGCGAGTTGGCTCTTATTGCCTGTCTTATATCTTTAAATTTATATTTATATTACAGAGCCTTGTTAAACTCTTAAAAATATCTTTAGTTTCTTTAGGAAAGTGTAAACCATACTCAATGGCCATATTGTGGAAAATAGCACATGTGTTAACAATTTTTGCTGCAGTGGTTGGCGTATAATGTAATACGCGATGTTTCAATAAACAACGAAATCGCATTTTTAAAATTCTATTTACACGTTCTATGATAGATCTTGCACGACAAAATACATTGTTAAACCTTTCTTCTGGTGATTCAGACAATGGATCTTTGAATTGTGTTATAAGCCACGGACGTAAAGGGTATCCTGCATCGCCTATCAAAATTGAATACGAAGGAAACAAGTTAAAAAAAAAACAATTATAATTACATTCTTTATTTTCAATCAAGTTTTCTCTACCCGAGTAGATAGAAGCGTTCATTACCGTAAGCATACAATTTTCGCATCAAACGTTGAACGTTACTATTATTCCAAATAAAGGTGTCATGCGAACTCCCTGGATATCTTGCATTAATATTCACAATTTTAAAATTAGCACCGCAAATCTATTAAAAAATGTGTGTACATTGCATTAAATGTGCAATATATTTTATATTTTTTATAAGATATTTTTGGTATATGTTTTAATTTACCAATGCACATTTATAGAATGCCATCTCTTTTTGTTTAAATATATTCAGTAATAACGTAAATAATCTCTTAGCTATTAGGGTTCTTTAATTAAAACAAAACAAATCTAAACATGGCTTATAGAGCCAAGCGCAAGGTGTGTGGGAGCGCAAAAAATAACACAATAACTTATACTATAAACAAGTTTATTCAGTATAAACGTTTCGGTTCTTTCTTTGGATCATCTTCAGTATAATAGGAACATAAAAATACAAACCATGACAAAGAAACTGTCTCACCACTTACAAACTCTCAAACGCATTACGTATACTTAGATCAAATGAATACTCTTCTTGCTGATGAAAGTACGTACATTAGGGTACAGAAAGACCCTACTAGGAAAATCATCAACAACCTACACGATTTGCTCACAAGGTGGAAAAATTTAGATTATATATCCGACGCGACATATAGATCGTTAAATTGTTCAGAGGGTGTGCTGCTGAGGGCCTATAGGCTCCCAAAAATTTACAAGCCGGGATGTCCTTTACGAATTATCGTCTCTTCAACAAACACCTCATATCGGCTGGCAATATTCCTCCATAATATTATATATGTCAATCCCGGCAGCTGACAGTCATGTGGAAAACAGCTTCCAGTTGGTGAGGAGGTTTGCTGGAACTTACATTAGAGACCAACACGAATTAATTTCGTTGGATGTGGTTTCGCTATTTACCAACATCCCGTTGGATTTGGCAATTGATGGCATGGCCGCGAGATGGGAAGTTATAAAACATAATTGTACGATGCTGCGTGATGAGTTTCTGGGGGCGGTCCGGTTGGTTCTTCACTCCACGTTCTTCTCTTTTAATGGGGTAATCTATCAGCAAACGTTTGGGGCGCTCATGGGCTCTCCGCTGTCTCCGATAGTGGCCGACCTGACTATGCGCAATTTGGAGGGTAGGATTATAGGGGAGCTTCCTTTCGGTCTTCCGTTCTATGTGCGTTATGTTGATGATGTCGCATTGGCGGTCCCTTTTTCGACAAGTCGGGAAGTATTAAGACGCTTCAACGCATATCATGATAGATTACAATTTATCGTCGAGGAGGAAACGAGCGACAGACTGAATTTCTTAGATGTTACGTTCATCTTGAATAAAGGTTTTATTGAATTTGATTGGTTCCATAAACCAACGTTTTCGGAAAGATACCTGAATTTCTACTCCTGTCACCCTCTCTGCCATAAGAAAGGCACTATTCTTGGTTTAGTGGATAGCGTTTCGGCTGTCACATCCGAGATTTCACGAAAAGAATCTTGAGCTGGCATTTTGGCTCATTGGCATTTTGCGTGATAATGGGTTTCCATTAAATTTAATTTTTGATACGCTTCGTGAGCGGCTCAAGACGTTGTTTGTTAGAGCGCGGAATATGGACTCTGATTATGATAATGGAGTCACGGGTGTCAGTTCGGCGCCCGTTACATATTTTAATATATCAATGTACCTAGATTTTCTAAGCGGTTTGGTCAAGTGGTCCGTGATTTGGATGTAAAAATGTCTTACACGGGTATGGATAAGCTCCGTTCGTTCATCCGCGTTCATAAGGATACAATATCTAAAGATTGGCATAATAATGTTGTGTACAAAATTTTGTGCAAAAATTGTGATGCGTCGTATGTGGGCCAGATAGGCAGACAGTTAAAAACACGCATTAAGGAACATAGAAATCATATTAATAGAAATACTATACAGAAATCCGTTATTACGGACCACAGACTTAACGACCATGAATTTGATTGAGATAATGTTGAAATCTTGGATGAGGAGCCTTTTTTAAAGAAGAGACTTGTTTCAGAAATGTTGTTTATTAGGTTTAGAAAAACGGTTTAAATCGTCAGGAAGACTAAGTACCTACATCAGGCATATATATCGATTGTTACAAATATGCCTCAAATTCATTGAAATTCTGACCTTAGTTACGGTTATTACAAATTCTCTTATAGAGTCATAAATCAAGGCTATAAACTTGTTGTTAGTGAGATTTTTATATAATTAGGTTTGATCCCCTCCTAAAGGGTAATGAACCGTTGTTCGACGACCTATAAATAGTCGCACATCTTGTTTTCGCGCCTTATTTGTGCGCCGGACGCGTCCGGGTTAGGTAGCGTGCGGGTATGTGTGTTGTATCTGTGTGGGTAGTGGGTCTCCCATTGGAAAGGTTTACTGGCTGCAGTCAGTATGGGTTACCTTTGAAGGTATTATTACTATCTTATAATTCTGTGATAGTAGTATAGTGGCAGCTATGGCCCGTCAAAACAAACCCCCACCACCGGCCCCTCTGGCGCCGTGGGCGTGGCTTATCTTTCCCCCACCACTAGCGTCTGGTTTTTCCGAGTGTGGGTGTTGAGGGGAAAAAAAATGGCGACTGGCCCCAAAAAGAGGGGATAAGAATTTTATTTTTTCTGATTTTCTCTGAATTTGAACCCGAGACCTTCGCGTTTCTGAGCAGGGTCCTAGTATGTTGATTTAAACGAGATCTTACTAGTCTAGGGATTAGATGAAACATTTAAGCTAAAGTTGCGTAGAGTACGGTATGGGGTTCGGGTATACGTATGGCAAGAATAGCTCGTCGAATCAAATGGCCGATATTGGGCGGGGTGGGGTAAAAACAGTTTGACCAAAAAAAGCGTCATACGGTCGAACGGGGATCGGTGGCAGGTAGTGGCTGACGATGCCGTAGGGTAATAAAAAAAAAGAACACGCAAATATTTATTTAGGCGAGCATTCTGACTCGTGTCACAATAAAAAATAATACATCATCGTAGATTAGAAAGAATGCTTATTGTTGAAAAGATGGCAGATAAAATTTTATTTAAAAATAACGCGCGGCTTAATGAAGGTGAACAGGAACATGCACGTTGAGGAAATTTCTGGAAAAAGGAAGTAAAAGAAAATCGAACAATGGTTTTAAAAGTACCAATGTGATTTATTTTTAAAATATTTTTACAGAACAAAATTCATTTATTGATACCAAAATTCATATTATATATTGTTATGATTCGCTTGTTTTTTTGTGAGTAAAAATTTTACGAAATAAGTGTATGATTAAACGATCGTTATATTCACAATCTTCGGAAAAAAGAGCGAGAAACTGATTAAGATTATAACCTCTGCACATATAATTTAAAAATACACAGCAGTATTGTCCGCAAGTCTTAAAAAAAATTCCTTGTAATTGCTGAATATTCCAGCGATGGATGATGGAGTTTCGTCGAAGTCGGATGAGAAATCCTGGATACAAGGGGGGGCAATCCGTAGCTGTCGAAGTAAGTGGTTGTGCCGTGTTCATCGTGGTAGAAGGCGATCCAATGTTCTCCAGGTCGATCGTGATTGTCGGTGTTAGCGACGATAGCCGTCGACTTCGTCCACACCCTCGGAACTCTGTCGGCTGCATAGACTCCAACATGTCTGGCATCGAGATAACGCAATGCTTGTAGAATTTCGCGAGAGTTCATTTTTTTGTCCCGAATACGAACAAGTGTACGGTATTATTTGAACAATATCGGTTTTTACCTCTTTCGATAATGCGTCTTCTTCTATCTTGAGTTGTTTTGAGAGGTTTTCAATGT